AACACACATAATATAAACCTATACTAAATTACCCAAGCTTGATCTTGATCTTCATTAAGCTTAACTTGGTACACGTTGCGGATGAAGCTTGAACTTGGATCTTGAACTTTGAATAGCAAGGCTTCACCGACATTCCGCCAACCTCCTTTGGATATGATCGTTGAAGCTCTATTCCATCCATCCTCCAACTACGTTGTTTGTCTATAATAAATAAGAAAACACAAATACTAGACAAACAACATTAGTAATAAATTGTTTGTTAAACATCATCAAAACAAGAAGGCCAACAATCTCCCCCTTTTTGATGATGACAAACAATTTACAAAAAGAAACATATGCATGAAGTAAATGAATATATAATTTATAATTCACATGCATATAAACAAGAAAGAATATACTCACAATATTTCTCCCTCTTTGACAACATCAAAAAGGGGACAAAAGAATTTAGAGAGCGAAAGCTCCCCCTACAAATAAGCATGGGTGAGTATGAAGCAAGTATAGGGATTGCTCCCCCTATCAAAAAGCCATATAGAATATAGACAAATAAAGATCATGGCAAATATGTGAGCAAGCATAAATGAAAAGATATGCTAAACACCACTCACAAGCAAACAAGATACAATGAGGACACATAATGATATGACATTATAAAGATAGTGTCTCATTATAAAAACCATGTAAGAATAGATTTATGAAATCAAAAGAAGAGGAACATGAGAATCATGCAAAAAGTTTTCAAATGAAAACAAATCAACCAAAAGAAATCATAAATCAAAGTTTAAATCCAAAAACGATGTTTGATCAAACAAGAAAATTTTTTTTGTGGGATTTGATCAAACCACATATGGAATACATTATAAGGCACGAATAGATGATCCATAAGCACAAACACATAAATATCATCATATAAGTGAAATATAATGAATTCAAAGCAATAATTCAAAACAAAATCTTTGATAAAAGAATTTTAAGAGAGGCAACAATATATCAAGCTCTTAAGCTTGTTCTAACCCATATAATCATTCTAGCATCCGGTAAATAAGATTTAGGAATAAACACCCAATAAATCCGGAGGGTTATATAAATACAAACCTCTCATCAAAATCAAAACTAGGAATTATGAAAACAAAAGAATTTGACCAAAGAAAATTTGTTTTCATAAAAAGTTTCAAAGCATAATTTTCAAATAACCAAGAAAAAGGAAAAAAATAAGAATACTAAAATTCTTGGTTTAAAATTTAAATTTGTTTTGGTACCCAAGAACTCTTGGTAGCAAAAGATTTAGGGACATAACCCCTATCATTAAAGCTCAAAGCCTTAGGGTTATGAACCCTCTTAGGCACATATGGTGCACGGGATTGGTCATAGCAATAATTATGCAAATGACCCATTCGATTGCAATAAGTACAATGAAGAGGATACATTTGTTTATAATGAAAGAGATCCATTTGTTTTTGTGGACCATTAGCTCGTGCACGGGAATCATTTGCAAATAAAGATTTTCTTTTAAAATTATTTTGCAAATGAGAAACATTCTTAAACAATGGTTTATTTGGAACATATTGCAATTTAGAAGCTTTTTGTATATCAAAACAAAATTTAGCAAGATGTCCAAACCTACCACAAACATCACATTTAAAAACATGTGGTCTATTGGAAGCATTTGTCAAATGAGATTTTCTTTTCAAATCAAAGCAATATTTGGCCAAATGACCAAAACGACCACAATAAAGCATATGCATGTGTATGTGATGAAGAAGCTACATGAGATGCACAAGAAAGATTAATATTCTTATGTTTTTGTGCATCATAGCAAAATTTAGCTAGATGGCCTTTACGGCCGCAAATTGAACACTTATAAACTTTGTTATATATGTGTGCATGATGAGTAGATGATGATTTAGACTTGGCACATATATCCATAAGCGTCTTATGATTATTGATGCATGTTTTCAAAGTTGAATCTAAGGATGAAATGCATTTTTTCATAAGATTCAAGTCTTCATTTTTTGGCACATATGCACCTTTAGAAGTAGAACATAAATAGTTATCTATAAAAGAAGCCGTATCATTTTGTATGTTCTTTACTTCTAACATGGCATTATCTCTTTCATGAGTTAAACTAGCAACGTTTGAAGTTAAAGAAACATGATCCAATTTTAATTTTTCATTGTTTTCTTTAAGGATCACATTTTCATTAGAAATAGTTTCAAACTTAGATGCTAACAACTCATGATCGGATTTCAAAATTTCATGCTTGCTTTGTAAATTAATGAAATCATTTTGCAATTTGTTAAAGGCATGTAATAATTTTTCACTAGCACAAGCAAGTTCATCATTAGGTAAATCATTTATGGTTTCGAACTCGCAAACCTCACTAGGGCTATCGCCTAGTGGCCGTGTGCATGATGAAGCTCCAATATTACTTGAGGAAGAATCCGCCGGAATCCTTTGGATCTCCTCCAAGTTACCATGATGTGCTTCTATGAATGTCCACAATTTGTAAGCACTATCAAAAGAAACAAGCTTGTTAGAAATAGAAGAATCAAGTGCATTATGCATATATTCTAACACAATCTTGTTCATGGTAAACAATCTTTTGTCATTTTTACTCCACTTGGATTTCTCCATAGTGGGTACAATATAAGCATTATCAATAATTCCCCATAGATCAATATTTTTAGATTGCACAAAAAGTTTAAATCTAGAAGCCCATTGTGCATAGGGAAAGTTAATGAATTTAGGAGCAACATTGGATTCATAGCCTAACAAAGGTGCACAATTCATGTTCATGATAAATATATGTGTGCAAGCAAGACAAATGCAATCAAAACAAGATTAGCCCAAAAAGATAACTTAGATCTTTAACTCAAGGCGATTAGACCTTAAATCAAAGAACACCAAGCTCTGATACCAATTGTTAGACCCTAGAGGGGGGGTGATTAGGATCTTATGCTAATCTAATCCGAATTAAATGCCAATTAAAATTAATTAACAAGTTATCCTAGCAAGTATGAAATGCAATAATATATATGAGCTAGGATAAGCAATATACAATATGATATATCCTAGCAAAGAGATATATAGCAAAATATATATGCAAGGATATATAAACTAACACAAGGGTAAACAATATAAACTAGATAGTGAATGAAATAAATGAGCAATGCACAAATAGCGATATAAGATGAATGCAAAAAAAAATACGCCAAAGCACACTCAAACACAATCAAATGATCACGGAGTTCGGACCTTCCG